ATACCAATACAAAATTATAAAACCAATGTTACAAACATTTTTAAATTAGCCTGTCATATATATCTACAGTGACTCACTTGTAAGTTGTAACCTACTGTACAGTAGAGTGACATACACTTGCCCACCTTTTTGTTTTTATAAGTTGACATAATTACAAACCTACTTATAAAAAACTAAACCTATAATTTTCTATTATCAAACATTTGATATTAAGAATAGCGATGTAGACTGTAAACAACTAGATAATGATTTCATTTAAAATTTTAATTTAGTTGACAGATGTTTATTATAATTTATTATTGAAATATTGAAATATATCTATAAAAATTAATGATTTATAAAAGTGAATTTCTTCATTGTTGTTTTAAACGTTAGAAAATTTGGAAAAGTGGGTACCACTATAGTTATTGAGCATGCATGTCAATATTGTGATGGATGTGTTATAATATTGTAATTTAATGATAAATATAAATCATTGAATAAATCTTACGAAAAACGATTCTGAGTGGAGATGATTTGTCACTCTAGCACATATGTATAAATAATCCAATTTAATAATTAAAAAAAATTAATAAGAATCGAAAAATTGTCATGGCTATAATTGCATAAAAAGAGTTTAAATATTTTGAAAATTTAACAATGTAAGTAATAAAAATACAGTCACAATTTTTTTTTATATGTATTTAGTTTGAATTTTGACAAATCCCGTAAAATGTACAAATTATTTTGAGTTAGAAATTCATAAAAATTTTTATTTTTAAATCTAACTATCAAGGGACAAGGATTTGATAATTTATACAAGATTCCTACCTATATCAAAAGAAAATATTTACCGGAAAGTCAAATTAAATTTTTATGAGCGTTTGAAGTTTAAATTTTAACATCATTAGATATTCACTCGATTTCTCATGTAGAGATTTTCTTATGTTGTATTTTTGAAGTTATACTTTTTTACGCAGGGTAGTGAGGAAAAAAAAAAGCGAACGGGCGGCCGTACGAACGCGAAAGCGTACATGTCCGTAAATAAATAAATATTGTCATGGTAGTGTTGTTATATTATATATTAAACAAGCGTTGCGAGGTAAGTGGTGGTCGTTAATATTATATAAACGTTGCAAAATATAAAACAGATTCATCTATCTTGGCCAATAATAATTAATATGAATAATTAATAATCGATTATTATTTATTTTTATTATTATTATTATTATTATTATTATTATTATTCACTCACAAATCTATTGCCTGGATAAAAACAATACTACAAACAATTATCCATCGATCTGTCGAATAAAAATATAAAAAAAATAATAAAACTATCAATATTAAATAATTCCGGATACTTCTTCTCATTTTTTAAATTAATTATTATTTTTTTTCTTTCTTTTTCACTCACTCACGTGTACCATTCAAAAGAAGTTTAACTTCCCGCGCGCCTACTGGTAACACACATAGGTTTTTTTTTTATATAATATATTATATCAATACATTTGTTATTGGTGGTACCTATATTAATGGTACCTATGCCAATTATCGCAGACAAGTGTGAAACGCATTCCGATGCCATTAACTATGACGATGACATCAACACTTGATTTGTAATCGGTTAATATGCTATTAATTAAATTATTTGTCCAACTGTAACATTGAGAAAGTATCATTAGATGCATATCTATCTCTGTGTAATTTTCCCTGTCACTATTATGGAAAGGTGTCTAAACTTTTACTTGATGGCCGTGTTCAGTTAATGATCGAATTATTTTTTCCATAAAGTTAAAATAGCTCTTGCCGCCGATCGTTGAATTGCCAAAATGTGTCCAGATTCTACTGGTTTAAAACGCAATTCAGTAACACCAAAATAAAATGTAATAATGTATAAGTTAATGAATATTGTTATTATAATATAATATTGTTATTATGCTCACCGCACCTTAAAAAGAGTGAAAATTGTAATATTATTTATAAGTCGTGCATTTTTGGATTGGTAAAAAATATTGTCCTTTTATGATCAGCTAGTATTAGTAAATAATAATATTTACCTACCTAGAAAACTAGAATATTAGATTTTCTAAATTATTGTTTTTTTTTTATTATTTGTTATTTAATAATTATTTACCATTGATAATATTTTGTATTATACGTCTTGAACTCTGTAAGTCGTCGAACAATTAATAATGTTTTTTGAAGTTTTGTAACAGTAGTCTGCAGCAATATAACTAGGTATGTTAAGAGGACGCCACACAAGTTATGAGTATTTTAAGATGTACAAACCATTTACAATTTTAAAATACTAATAACTTGCTTTAAAATTAAAATATAATAAAAAGCAAATGAGGTTGTCTAGATAATAATTCTCTCTAATTTTTAAACTAAAGGAGCTATACGTGTTCTTTTGAGCTTAAAATTTAATATGTTACGCACTTGTAAGACACAAACAACACAAGGGGATTCGATACCGTCATTTTCTGTTTTTGTCTAATACACGTGTAACATAGTATTTTAGACGTGTTTTATGCAAAACATACCGATTTATATAACTAAGCAATAAAAATTATAAAAACAGATTTTAATTTGCGGTCAAGTCTACTTGAAATCGATTACTGTTAAAAGTATATGAACGATAAGAATAAATCAAGAAAAAGAATAAAGACGAATAAAGGTCAATGGTTTTAAGTACTGATCCTTAAGTGTATGCATTCACGATTAAAAGCGCATAATTACTTTTATATTTTTAATACTACATAATTCGTTTTTAATGCATTCGTTTGTTGCTTCATGGACCACGCCTTTATATTATTAGTTTTATGTACCTACGATAACGCGTCTAGACGGTCATTGTAATAAAAGAAAAAATATGTGACACACCCAAGGAAACGTGACTTTAATAGGAAGATTGGAATTTAAAATAATTAAATTTCGTTTCTGATTTCGATTCTGAGCTGAGCGATGAATGTATTGATTTTACAATGATTTTCACTGGTTGTTTATAATCACATTTTCTATACACGATCAAATTTTCAAAATATTATGATTTATGGCTTGTTTTGAACTGTTCACAAACATTTTAAGTTTCCAATTTTATTAGTTTTTTTTCACTGAATGTAAATAAAAGTATAAGTTAAAATCTTGACAAAACACGTGCAAATTATTTTGAAAACTTCCTAAAAATTTTTCTTTTTAAATCCAAGATTTAAAAATATAATACAAGATTCCTCATAAGTTTTTCTACCTTAAAAAAAAAATATATATCTACAACTCTATTTAAATTTTTATGAGCGTTTGAATTCGTATTTTTACAACATAGAATATTCATCGACTTCTCATATAATAGTGATTCCTTGTTTTGTTGTAATTCAAATGCGAATAACTGCAGATAGGCACATGAAAGTTTTACTGAATATATATATATTTTCATTTTCTATACACCATAACATTTTGAAAATATTTTGATTCGTTTTGAGCTTTTGCCGGACAATTTCAAATTTCAATTCTTTTAGTTACTTTTTCTATAAATATGAATGAAATTTTATTTGTTTGGTCAAAAAACGTGAAAAATTAATAAAAGGCTCCAGATATATTTTTACAATAGCAGATGGAAAATATTAAAATTACTAAATTACGTTTTTATTAAGAATCATTTAAAGTTCAAATGTTGAAATAATTTATCAAATTGAAAATTTAGAAATTATTTAGTAGTATGTATATATTTCTGAGTAGATTCTGAGTGAAACGATGAATGTATTGATTTTACAATGATGTGTGTTTTTTTATTTTTTTTGTGTGTCCGTCATCGCCTTTTACTACAGTAAAAGTGCTTGGATTTTCTTCAGCAGTAGCTTTTCTGATAGGAAAGTGAATCTAGTTGGTACTTTGGGGGGTCGAAAATTTCTCAGTAGCTTTCTAAAGCGGCGTGAAAAACAAAATATATGAACGATAAGAATAAAACAAGAAAATGAATAAAGACGAATAAAGGTCAATGGTTTTACATTCTCATCCTTAAGTGCATGCTTCCACGATTACAAGCGCATAAACACTTTTATATTTTTAATAATACATAGTTTGTTTTTAATGCATTAGTTTGTTACTTCATGGACCACGCCTTTATATTATTAATTTTATGTACCTACTATATAACGCGTCTAGACGGTCATTAGTTTATAAAAAAAAAAATATGTGACACACCCAGGGAAATGTGACGGTAATAAGAAGATTGGAATTTAAAAACATTAAATTTCGTTTTATTTACTATTGTAATAATTTGATAGGTATCGAATGCACGGAAATATGCACGGAAATTAGAAATCTGTTAGGGTGCTAACGACTTCAATTATAATACATAATATACACCTTTAGGTACCATAACTATTGTCCCGAGTCATATAGTAATTAAACATAAATAATTTTTTGAAAATAGAGGTATATTTATGAAGAAATCAATGTAGGAAAATACCATCATGACAACACTCCCGCCGTATTTGTGCCATATTAGTAAATTACATGCATAAAGGAATGCATAAAATTAACAAAATTATTGGATCAGAATCGTAATGTAACCCAAAAATATTTTATTTTAAATATATATATAAGACTTCTATTTTATTTTTTCAGGAATTGACCATAAACGAATCAAAACAATGTTGCTCTAAACATAAAGATTTTATTTATTATTATTATATATTATTATTTATATTATAATATACAGAACTTACCTAAACATAAAGAAACGACAATAAATGTTTGTTTATTCAATGAGATGTCAATTTCTAAAGTACTAATTAGGTATAGGACTACGGGTATTACACTATTACATCTTTCATTAAAATATTACATTTTTCTTATTACAATTAATTTATTTTATCATAACTTGCTTATCACTATTATTGTTATCACTAATCATCTTATAACCACACTAACCGTGCAGAGCACGGTAAAACACAGTTTATATAATTATATATTCTTTACATTTCCCCCCCTGGGACAGACAATTTTTTGTAAAATTTTCATCTTGAAGTCAAGTTAGCTGGTTTTTCAACATCCAATGTAGAGGCTGGAATAAGTTTCGTTATATGGAAGTTATTCGATTCTGTTTTCTTGTGACCTGTGTTAATCCTATAGATTGAATTTGATATCCTCTCTCTTATCTTGTACAGTCCAATCTTCAGTTCATCCAGTTTTCTCCTGTTTATTTTGTTTCCATTTTCCACATACACCATATCTCTTACGTTGAATTCCATGTCTTTTCGATTTTTATCAAATAGCTTTTTGTTATAATCATGTGATTTTATTGTATTCTCATATGCTCTTTTCCTTTCACATATCCAATCCATTTCTGTTTTTTTCCTTCTTTTAATTCATGTGGCAATATTGAAACATCTGTACCATATAATAAATATCTTGGCGCAAACCCCGTAATTGAATGATCGGCATCATTATACTTATTTACACATTCTTGTGCTATTGTTGTCCAAGCTATTTATTCTTTTCATTGATTTTACATCGAATTTTGTTTGCCAGTGTTTGATTAAGTCTTTCATTTATTCCATTTGAAAAAGGGGTATTTATAGCAGTAAAAACCAACTGTATCGACTTTTCACTCAAAAAACGTTTAAATTATTTTGAATTAATTCCCGGATATTGATCGGTGAGAAGCATACCTATTTCATGTGTGTCTGCTATATTGTTGACTAGTTTTACAAAATCATTCGCACTCTGTGTTTTTGATGTTAAAATGGATGCGTATCTTGTGAAATGATCCACTAGAAGATGTAGATATTTGTTTTTCAGATTTCACACAAAAGTAAAATAATATAATATAATATCTATGTCGTTGACGATAAACAATTTATCCAAGTACCTATGCCACCTGCGTGGTACTACTGGTACTATCAATTATAAATACTAGTAGTGTTTATAAATTAATGTTGGTATTGATTAATTTTTCTTATAATTAAATTAAGAATATAAAATATGTTTGGATATCTTCATGCTAATAACTGATTAAGCTAGGGGTATGTATAATGTTGCTACTGTTTTGATTCTCGTCGATAACAACCCGTTTAATAAGGAAGCCACACAACCGTACTGGTTGATTGGGTGGTTAACTGGTATGGGGTAAATATTATTATGATTATTTATAGATGAAGTGATATTCAGAATACATAATTTGCTGCGTCCTGTACACCATACCGCTGGCCGTCCCCTCCCACCTTTGGCTGGCACTGTTGCGGACATACCTTACATGACGTGTAATATGACAATGCCTTCGACGCTCAACTGGTGGCTCATATAAAACGGAACGCAGAGCAGATCGTGCCATTCGTGTGTTAACCGTGCCAGTTTTACTTGCCCGTCTGCTACGACTGGGTCACGATTGTTTTGATTTTATTCCGCCCGTTTAAATCCGTATTATACTTACTGTTCACTTTAGCTGATTTTCTGAATAGACCGACAATGATGGAATACAATATAAAAAATACATTAATCTTGTTTGTCATAATCTCCTCCATGGCAGTAGACTCAGGTTCAACAGACAAAATTAAACGAACAGGTACCTATGTAATGTTTAAAACTATTGTTTTATGTAGCTATTATTTATTTATATAATTAAATACGTGTGTTATGTATAAATGTATAATTATAAATAAATATAAAAATGTAAATTTTAATTCAAAAGATCAGGACAATATTTTTATTATTATTCCGTTATTTTATGGTTGTCATATTTACTAAAACAAGGCTTGAAACCGATTTAAAAAATGTTGGTTTTGGTTTCGATTTCGTATAAAGGTTTCCATTTGTTTTCGGTTTCGTTTTTGATTTTGTTTTCAGATTCAGTTTTTCAGTGGTGTATGCTGGTTTTTGAAATTAGTTTCAAACTCTAGACTATTTTCATTTATTCCTAACCTAATGTTTTATTATAAAATAAGAAAAAAGTTAGACTTTTTGAGAAAAAAACATTTTTGTTGTGAGTTTGAGGGAAGGAAGTAACCATTTTTTAGATTCTTTTTCTTTTTATAATTTTAATGTCTTATGAGCGCTTATTTACATGAATTTAGATGCTTCTAAATCCCAGGCACAGGCCATCACCGAATTCCCCACATTTTTAATTAATTTTAGTATGAACCACTATACAATTTCAGTTAAATTTAATAGCTTTAGGAATATGAAAAATCTATTTCAATTATAATGCTAAAGTTAAAAATCAAAATCGAAATTTTGAATTTCAGTAATACAAACCGTTTTATGTGAGTAAAGATATAAATATTATTCAAAATATAAGAATATAATCTGTAATAACCACTGACTTACAACAATAGTAAAATTGAATAATGGACCTTATAATATTCTGTAATTAATTAAGTAGGTACTAATTTATTATTATTTAGTAACAAATAGGCAACAACCCCAATCTTTGAATGAAAGAATTTTGTATTATACGAAGACGTATAAAATATAATTTTAAATTAAAAAATATATATACCTATCTATAAATAATAAATATACCTATATTTTTTGAACACATCATAATATTTATAATACTACAAATATTATAATGTGCGTATAATGTAATAATATGTATTTTTGTATTTATGCGTGTTTTAGTTCTGGATAGTCTCAGTGTATGTCCTCCTTTTGGAAAAAAGGCAAAATTTGAGGTGGAGACTATACAAACCAAATCGCTGATGTACGGATGTGCCTATATGGGAAACGACAGTCTGCTAGGCACTGCTCCATTGTTCCATTTGTGGTTGGAGCGTCCCGACAAGACATTTAGACACGGACATTGCGACAATACGCAGAGTACGTATTACGAATCATTATTGTTACTGCACAGTAGGGGGAAGTGTTAAGTGCGCTGGGCCTGTGGTTACAGTAAAGCTCCATCCCGCTAAGACTATGAGCATATATCGTGCATTATAATATATAAGTATTTGTATTACTTGTATAGTTATATATACTGAAATACTCTATAAACGAACATTACCTTTTAATGTCGCTGCATGTTGTAAATTCGTATAGATGATCAGGTATGTTGTGGCAGTTTACGGAAGTAGGTACCTACTACTATTAATATTTAACACCCATATTAATATGCAATATACACGGAATACAATTATACTTCATATATTATATAATATTGTATATATTACCGTGTGTGTTTTTTACATAGCCTTGTTATGGTGGGGGGAGGGGCTTCAGCTCCAGGACGATAGGTAGGTAGAGCTTTTTAAAACTTTGGAATTTGGGTTACACTGCTCAATATAAAAATCAAAATAAAATCAACTGTATTATTAATTTTATCGTTATTCTATAATCTATAGTATGTTTGAATGATAACATTATGAAATTGACTTGCGCTTTGCACACATATTTCTATAAGTATACTTACTATATTAAAAAATAGTTACTTAATATATATTAGAGTGTGTAGTATAAATGTAGGTATTACAATTCATAGCTATTGTACAAAATCTTGGGTGTATACGCTCACTCAAACGTGGTCATTAAAATAGCACTAAATATCATTTGTGTCAACGAATAATATTCCGGATCAAAAACATTTATCATACTCATGTTAATTTTTTTCTGTTTTGCTCTATGCCTCTATCAGATATGGACCACTTTATTTTTGAGTGTTTGTCAAAACATGACCGGCCGACCAATAAAGACGAATCTGAAATGGGCTGGCAATATATATCGCTGCTTGAACATACAGCTGAGTCATTGCAAAATAAAACCAAAACACGATCCCACAGATGTGCCGTAAGTATACTGTGTTTCCCTACATGTTATTAAATATTCTTATAATTTATTTATAATATTATAGTTTTACATGCCTAGTTAAATTATCGAGGCCCTCGTGTTGTATAAATATACTTTCACCAAATGAAAGAGCTCGAGTTTTCTTTTTTTTTATTACAACCTAACTGGTGTAACGCTACATCGTACTATGGGATCTATTAAAGACCTTGGAATACTTTTCGAACCTAAACTGAAATTAGAAAATCATATCAACGATACATATAAAATAAAATCCTTTTATTTATTCGTCAAAATTGTGCAGATGTCGATGACAATATATTGTTGATTGGTACTTTCCATCTGTTAATATTGCTCAATTATTATTGCTTCTCCATAAACATCCGTTAGTTTTTATAAAATTGAGAATATCCAACAAAAATGTTTACGTTTCCTGTCTTTTAAATGAATGTAATTCCAACGTATCTTTCCCTTGAGCACTTGAGCAGCGTTGTTTACAATCAGATTTATATATCTCATACAATATTCTGAACTGTAATATTGATTGTCATGTTTTCTTAAGTCGTTTCCCCTTTCATATTCCTGCTTGAAACACCCGGTCTACAATAATTTTATTTTAGGAATGAAATAACTAACTATGCAAGTAAAACCCCCTCCCCCAGTGGCGTAATTAAGGGGTGATTAGGGGGACAGATCCCAACAAAACTTTTTTTTTACTGCTAACATTTTGATAGAAGTATTGATAATGACTATATTCTGGTTGATAAATTGTATTCAGTTACCTACACAACATATTAAAACTGAAAAACATTTAAAGTCTGTAAATTTACTACATAATAAACAACTCAATTTTCAGAGTTTATTCACTAATACTACAACACTGAATAACGATTCATTTTCTGCAGATTGTTGTATTTAAATATTTATAATGTTATATTAAAAAAATAAATTTTTTTTGCTAATTTTATTCTGCAAATTTTTTTTTATGCATATTTTATCATTTTAGTGCATATATTTATGCATATTTAGGATTTTTTAGAGCATATTTGGTTGGTTTTTAATGCATATAAATCCGCGCTCTAGACTAATGACCATTAATGTTTACTAAAAACGTATATCCCCCCAAAACCAAATTAATAATTGCCAGCCCCCCCCCCCCTAACAGAATTATGAAAACCATTAATTAATTAAAAAAGTTCTTTTCAACAAACTTTAACTCAATTAAGGACTATTGTAAATCCATTCTTATCTACATGTATTAGTTATTGTATAATGCTTCACTATTTTCTTTAAATAGAAATCTTTAAATCGAAATCTGCAGGTCTAAAACGCGTCATCGACGTTTGTAAAAGAATATTGATGGTGGATTTCAGTGTATTTATATTTATATATTATATATAAATATATATATATTAGTTATGGTTAATTCATTTTCTTACTCTCTATCTCTGTCTTTTTCCGTTCTGCCCACAGTTATACGATGTGTACGATGATGACCATTTGAAGATTAGAACAATCCGGATGGTGATTAGCAAGCCGGTAAAAGGAGAGGGATTTAATGTAAGCCAGTGCAATGGGCTTTCGGATATTTTGGCACGGGATTTAATGCCAATGATCCCCGAGGGAAATAGATGTTGGCCCGATGGGTCTTTGTACATCTATTTATTAGGAAGAAAGGCAAAAATCTTTTACAATACTACTACAAAAACACCGGTACTTCCGGTTACTAGTCGTCCAACTACTACCACCAGTCGTCCAACAACCACTACTACCACCAGTCGTCCAACAACCACTACTACCACCAGTCTTCCATCAACAACTACAACTAAAAAGACCAGATATTTTCCTTTTGCATTTTATAGTTTTGCTTACCCAACGAGACAACTAATAGCATAGCTGTATTTCCAGAAATGTAAATAAAAACTAAAAATACAAAAATATGTAAATTTTCAAATATATTTAATTATTACCTATAAATATTGTATTACTCGAATTATCATTACATGTAAGGCACTTTTACTAAGACGATCTAAAAAACCGAGGTAAGTGCAATAAATTACATATTATTTATTTTAAAATTAAAAACATATATTACACATAAAAAATTTAATTTTAATTTTAAAAACATAGTCTCCTGGTGGTCTAAAACGTAAGAAATTTCTCTGTTGTATAGTTCTCATCTTGATTGAACCTCGTCATAGAGAAAGTTACTGACAGTTTGTGAAATGTCGATAAAAAAAATTATGCAGTCCAAAAAATCTAGAAAATTTAATACAAAGAACTTATTCAAATTAAGAAAATGCATTTAAAGTTCTTATTTTAACACATCCATCAAATTATAGGTAACCTATGACTCAAAACTCAATGACGCGGTCCACTCGACACCTAATATAATATATCAGCAGAGCAGTTATACTTACTTTTTTTTTTGAATTAGTGAAACTTTAGAGGTGATGTTGAGGACAGAGATCCTGAAGAATCTTCAGTTCAAATTTGATTCAACAATATTGATCAAAATTCGAGGTAGTTACATTATTTTTAAATAATTAAATAGCACCTATACATCTGTATGTATGTTAATATAACATTAGAAACAGTTAAATCTACCTATAATAATATTATACTATAGATGTCGATAAAAGATTTTGGCTGAGTCAATATACTTGAAAATTTAGTACGAACTTATTTGTAAGTTAGTCATACAGCGATTCAAAAATCATCAAAATAATCATATTTTATTTGTTAGCATTTGAAGTTTGAAGTTTCGATGGTGATTCCAAAAGAGTTTTGTTAATTTTATTAGTCATTAATCATTATAGGGTTTGAGACTAGAGTTGTTATTTTGTTCGATAAGTTAGCTTTTGATCATTTAAACTAGTACCTACAACCTACATACAAAATACTCTATTTATAAATACTTTCGTCGAACTCTTAATTTTTGTTTAAAAATACTGAACATAGTTAAACAAACAATAATTATTAACACATACTATTTAACCGCCGCTGCCAAACACGGGTCGGCGTTGGTAGTAGGGGGTGACCGGTCAAAATATCTCCGCAAAAATATCTCCTATGAAAACATTTTAATATTTATAATATTTTATATTAATATTAATTTTTTATAACTAAAATTATTAAAAGCAGATAAAAAACTGATGTCTAAAGTGATTACCGAAGTAAGTGCATTAGTATTTAAAAATATGTTTTTGTAATCATAATATGTAATTTTTAAAATAATATGTAATTATTATTATTTATTACAAGTACAAAATATATGTTTTATTGTAATATAATTGACTGTATTTATAATATAAAATCCGATCAAGATATAAGTTAAAATTTAAGATTGTGGGCAAGTCCCCTTAAATAATACGTTGGTGTAATTTCGTTGTATTGACTTACGATTTTAAACAGTGGTTCATCATAATCATTTTACTTTTTTAATTAATTTGTTTTATGTTTATTATATTGTGTTTTATGTTAAGACGTTATAAAATTTAAAATGTATTATAAATGTCAACGTTTTGTATTATGTAGATTCTATGGTTAATTTTTAGTAAATGATACAACTAAATCCAGGTCTTAATAATTAATAATATAATAATGAACTATTTCTTCTCGAGTGGTTGTATAGCATGAAGTACATTTGTATGTTTTGTACTCAGAACAACACCAAATGAATTTGTTCACACCTTCTTTATAGAACGTATGAAGATATCCATTATGCAATAATAATTTGTTACCTTTTTGACTTATAATAAATTGTAGAGGCATTTTTAAATCTAAATAGTGAAACTGGAACTAGGTTAATCGATACAAGCTGTGTGTCTATACTGATACACTGTCGTATCGATACAGTCGTTACCTCGATAAAATTGTTTATCATGGTTTGTAATTGCACTCTTAATCATGAAAAATATATCAGATAATACAAATTGGTCAGTGTGACAAGTTATTTTTGCCTTTCGGATTATTTTCTAAACATTATTAATAGAAAATGTACTTACTTCGGTAATCACTTTAGACATCAGTTTTTTATCTACTTTTAATAATTGCAGTTATAAAAAAAATCAATATTAATAGAAAATATTTTCATGGGAAATATTTTAAATCGGAGATATTTTTTACTAGAGATATTTTGTACCGGAGATATTTTGTCGGAGATATTTTGACCGGAGATATTTTTGGGAAGATATTTTGACATGGAACCATTTGCAGTTGATTTCTGTTTCCCCTTTTTATTTCATTTTCTTTTATTGCTTTTATTGTCCAGCGTGTTATCAGCAGATACGTGGCTTGTATCACCAGAATATAAATATACGTAATGGGGTCAACGTGTTAAAAACATTATACAATATAATTATATCGAATAAGGTAATTAATAATAATAAATAATTTCTGGAGATTAATGTTTACTTTGGTTATAAAACAAGAATAACTAACACAAAATTGCATTGAACTACTCAACTACCTAGGTATCTATAGAAAAAAAATTATGACTTTATTTTTAGTTGCTCTAATAACTAATATTGAGTCTATGAGTCGTATTCATAGTCGATGGTTAAGAATAAGTATTGCTCATGAGATTCATAAACGAGACTTTGGCTTAAGAAAAGAAAAAGTATTCCCTAAATTAAGGTTCGTCGAGAATTACATTAAGCATTGATTTTAGTTATTATCACAACTTTTTTTTTATATTATCAAAATTAGCTTAAAGTACTTAACCAATACTTAACATACAAAAATTATTTTCTTATTTTTAAGTCTTTATCACTGGTATTTATAACAAACATACTTATATAAATCAAAATTGAAAATGTAAGTTATCTAAACGTTAGTGTTTTACATTAAATTTATAAATAATTTCAAAATAAATCATTGTTTATACAATTGTATATCACATGACCTGAGTACAGTCCAGCCGGAAATCAACGTTGAAAGGACCCTAGGCCTTCCAAGGGGGAGTAATGTTGGGTACAAAGAGTACAACCAGTTCAACGGCATTACGTAACCTACCTACCCGTAAAACGTGGGGGGGGCAACTTCATGTACGTCTGCTCAACACCACGACACAAATAGTGTCATATGGTACGTCCAGGGGCGAACCTAGTGGGGGGTAGGGTGGTCATAATACCCCCCCAATAATTGGTTTCTTAACTTTTGAGTTGGCCATTTTACATTTATGAAAAACTCAATAACTGTACATAATGGCCAACTAATAATTTGTATACGATTGACGATTGTGATTTGTGATAGTGATATTGACTAGAATCAAGGTTATTAGAATAATATAGTGAATATACTAATATTATTATACTGTCTGAACTAGAAAAATATATATTGTCTATTATCGGAAAAATAAGCAGTAAATACTAAATTGTTATCAGTGCGTCAGTAATAATAAGAGGAATATGCAATGGTGAGGGAGTTTGAAAATCCAGATACTGTAAATAGCCAACTGAACGTGGTTGACATGATTTTTTCAGTCTATGGAATCTAATTTGTTATAAATGTATGCATCAGTACTGCAGGCTTGCGATACCTACCACTATTATTTACAATAATTATTATACCTACGTCACGTTATGTTTATCTGTAATATTATGTAGATTTGACATACATGAATATAATAATACTTGTCCAGTTATACCTACTGTCTTTACTTATATTTTAAAATATTTTAATAATTCATAGAATATTTAATTATTTATATCGTCTAATTTGTTGTGCGTGATTTTTATTTGTCCTAGTAGTTTTTACAAGCGCCGGGAAAAACAACATAAAAATTAAGGAAAAACGGGAATTTTTACGCAAAATCAGTTTTCCAATAAATTTCCAAAATTTTGGTTTTTTTTGTAACTTTAAAACAAATGAACGTATATACATGAAATTTTCACTGGTTGTTTATATTTGCATTTTCTATACACGATAACATTTTCAAAATATTTTGATTTATTTTGAACTGTTTAAGGACATTTTTATTTTCCATTTGTTTTTAGTTTTTTTTCTAAAAATATCAATAAAATTTTATTTGTTGGTTGCGAAAGCTTGGAAATTTAATAGAAGGCTCCTAGTATATTGTTTCAAAGGCAGATGAAAAATATTAAAAATCCTTAGTCACAATTTTTTTTATAAGCATTTAAAGTTCAAAAATTTACAAAATATGGAAAAATCATGAAAATTAGCAAATTATTTTGAATTAAGAATTCGTAAAAATTTTTCTTTTTAAATCTAAGATTTGAAAATGTAATACAAGATTCCTTATAAGATTATCTACCTTTACCGAAAAAAAAATGTTTATAAGAAAGTCAAATTAAATTTTTATGAGCGTTTGAAATTCAAATTTTTACAACATTGGATATTCACTCGATTTCTCATGTAGCGATTTCCTTATTTTGTTGTAATTCAAAAACGATTAACTGTAGATACATGAAAATTTCACTGAATGTTCATATTAGCATTTTCTATGCACTGTACAATTTTGAAAATATTTTGACTTTTTTTGAGCTGTTTACAGACATTTTCAGTTTTCAATTTTTTTAGTTTTTTTTTCTATAAATATCAATAAAGTTTTATCTGTTGAGCCAAAAAGTGTAAAAATTTAATACTAGGCTCCTAATAGATTGTTACAATAGCAACTGAAAAATTTTAAAAATACATAGGCACAGTTTTTTTTTATAAGCATTTAAAGATCGAATTTTGACAACATTTATCAAAATCTAGAAAGTTATCAATCATTGTAATTAATATATTATAAAATGTTCAGTTTTCATAGCTAAGGATTGCAAATTTAAAACAAATGTTCTCATAAATAGTTCATACTGTAACCAAAAAATCTAAAAAATAAATGAACACAGTTATTTTTTACAGACATTTTAAATTCAAATTTGGACGAA